TATATATATATATATATATATATGATATTAATCATATATCTATAACAATAATAATTATTATCATCATATATATAATAATTATTATTATTATTGTCTTTCTTATTATTATTATTATAAGGGACGAGTAACGCCAAATGCACAACACAACGCATTATACGCACGAGGGTTGAGGGTTTAGGGTTTAGGGTTTAGAGCTGTTGTTTAAGAGTTTATCTGCAACTGGCTGCTCCTATTGCCTCTTGTGAAATGAACAACACCCCTTATTCAATGCGTCTTGTCTGCTGTTGCTGCTGCTGCTGTTTCTGCTGCTGCTGCTGTGCATGATTTGCTGCTGCTGCAGGCGAGGGCAGTACGTGCTGTTGTGTGGGGCGATGTTCGAATGCGTCGCTGCGGTGTATGGATACTGCAGCTTCTTCTGCTGAGTTGAGCAGCAGCAGCATGGAGTCTCAGCTGTCTGTACAGCCGCGGCGGTGTTGCAGCTGCAGCTGCTGCTGCAGCAACAGCAGCAGCAACAGCAACAGCGCTGCAGCCGATGGGGCAGTTAGTGACGCGGAGTTTTCTACAGCAGCAACGACAGCAGCGACAGCGACCGCTGCAGCAGCAGCAGCAGCAGCTGCAGCAGCAGCAGCAGCTGCTGCTGCAGGGGGAGCACCTAGCGATGAGAATCGCGCGGTTTCTCTCTCTTTTGCTGCTGATGCTGCTCTAGAGCTGCCAGAATGTATTGTTGCTACTAGAGATATTTCTGCGGATTTATCTTATATTCACTCGTCTTTGCACGAACTCAAGCGGGAGTTAACCAGCAATAAACAGCTGCTGAGCTGCATATGCCGCAACATGGATGCAGCAGCAGCAGCAGCAGCAGCAGCAGCGCACCAGCAGCAGCAGCAGCAACACAGAGAAGGAGACACAGAAAGCTTTCGTATCTTCACTCCTTTAGCACTCAGCAGACAGTCGAGCGCTGCTTCCCTCCCAGAGGCCCCAGAAGAAAACAGCAGCAGCAGCAGCAGCAACAGCTTTTTTTGCTCGGACGAAGCAGCAGCAGCAGGGGCTGCAGCAGGGGCAGCAGCAGGAGCAAGAGCTGGTGCAGCAGCAGGAGCAGCAGCAGGAGAAGCAGCAGGAGAAGCAGCAGGAGAAGCAACGGGAGCAGATGAGGAAGCAAGACTCGAAGCAGCAGCAGCAGCAGGAGCAGAAGCAGGAGCAGCAGCAGGAGCGGAGGCAGGTGCCGCTGCGGGCGCCGGTGCAGCAGCAGCGGAAGCAGCTGCTGTAGCAGCCGAATCAGCAGCAGCAACAGCAGCAGCAGCAGAAGCAGCAGCAGCAGCAGCTTCGTCTCCTCGTTGCACGATAGAAACAGCTAGCATTCGAGTTGCAGAGAGCAGAAGAAAGTTTAATAGCCGAAGTCATTACTTCCCGAAAGTCCAAACAGCATCAGGCGAAAAGGAGTGGGAAGAATATATCTCCACCAACAAAGGGCTCAGCAAAGACAGCACCTAATGTACTCCTTCTACTGCTGCTGCTGCTGCTGCTGCTGCTGCTACTGCTACTGCTGCTGCTGCTGCTGCTGTTGGTGGTGGTGGTGGTGGTGGTGCTGCTGCTGCTGCTGCTGCTGCTGCTGCTGTTGGTGGTTGTGGTGGTTGTGGTGGTGTTGTTGTTTTCCGGTTGCTGCTGTGCAGCAGCGCCCCTGCAGATAGAGAGCAGAGAAGCAGCAGCAAAGCGGTAACAGCGCAGCAGCAGCAAAATAGCAGCAGAGAAGCAGCAATGCAGCAACAAAAGAGCAGCAGACCTGCTGCCGCCTCGCCACTCCTCCAAATGGGCCGCAGGCGGTGCCGCCAAACCCTAAACCCTAAACCCTAAAGCTGAAGTAGGCGGTGGTTTGGGTGTTTGTGCGATGGAGATGAATATAATTATGCTTTAGTCGACAATTCTGTTTAGACGTTCGGTTATTTAAAACATTTTATTTAAAAACATTACATTATTTAAAACAATATTATATTTCTACAAGTGCAATTCTCTTAAGACGCTTTCTTTACTTCTTTTGGGGTTTGCTACAACTCTGTTTAACCCGTCTTTCTTCTTTCTTCTGTCTCTCTTCACTTTATTTTCTTCTCTTTTATTTTCATTTATTTTATTATGTCTCTGAACTTTTTCTTTCGTTCGTCTCGCCAGCTGTGCAACAGCAAACGGCTGTCTGTACACCTGGCAGGCACATGCGAACTGACTGCAGCAGCAACAGCAGCAGCAGCAGCATCAGTAGCAACAGTAGGAGTAGCAGCAGTATCATTAGAAGCTGAAGCACCAGCAGCAGCAGCAGTAGTAGTAGGTAGCAGTAGCAATACGAGCAGCAGTAACTGCACCAGCACAAACAGCAGCAGCAGCAGCAGCAGCAGCAACTGAAGGTGGCTTTGAGCAAAACAAACCCAGTAGACATTAAAACAAAAATGTAAAGGGCATTATTATTATTATTATTCTGCATTGTGATTATATATTATTTCTTTATTAATATTACTGTTTATTATTTTTGTTGTTGCTTCCATCGTCATACAATTAGCAAGAAATGCTCTGGATGGCCGGTCCCCGCCTGAGGGTTTAGGGTTAGTAAGGGTTTAGGGTTTAGGGTTTAGGGTTTAGGGTTTTATTAGAGCCACTGCTGCCTCAAGACTCTGAGGGCGATGGTTTGCTTCAGCGGCGAGTTGAGGGCAGCGAGTGCTTCCACCTGGGCTTTCTTATTTATTTGCTGCATTTGTTCGCAGTGACTCTTTACTCCTTCTTCTGCAGCAATTGAAGCGTCGACCAGCAGATTCTGCAGCATTACTTTATCTCTCAACCCCAAAGGAGAGACAGAAGCCAAAGGCAAACCCTCCACATCGCTCGCTACTAGGCCTATGTAATGCAGCAAACCATTGCTGCTGCTGCTGTTGCTGCTGCTATTGCTGCTGGTGATCTTGCTGCTGCTGCTGCCGTTGCTGTTGTTCTTGCTGTTACTGTTGTTTCTCTCGCTGTCGCTCTCGCTCTCGCTGCAGGTTCTGTTGCTGCTGCTGTTGTGCTGCTGCTGCTGCTGCTGCTGTTGTTGCTGTTGCTGCTGCTGCTGTTTTTGTTTGCATGCACGTAGATAAGTAAGGAAAATGTATATCCCGTGTGGGTCAAAGTCGCCGAGGTAGCAGGCCTGTGATTTATACAACATGTTTATTAATCTGGTGTATAGATGCATATTGTATGTTTTATTTTGTATATTTTATTTATTTCTTTGGTTATTTCTTGTCTTTGTTTTGCTTTTATCTCTTTCATTATTTATTATTATTTTATTTTCTCACTTGGATGCCGTGTACAACACAAAGACGAGCTAAAAGAAGCCGAGAGCAAATGTCTGGGAACCCCCGACCTGTCAGCAGCACGCAAGGCAGCAGCTGCAGCAGCACCGGAGTTCAATTCAAAGCAGCAGATGCAGCAGATGCAGCAGATGTAGCAGATGCAGCAGATGCAGCAGATGCAGCAGCAGCAGCAGCAATGGCGTGGAGTTGAGGAAGAAGCAGAAGAAGTACAGCAACTGCACACAGAAGATAAAGACAAGAAAGAATATAAAAAACAAACAACATGCATGCATATCAAACAGCATTAAACCAACAACAACAATTAACAACAAACGAAGCAACAAGCAAAATCATATTGAACAACCATAACGGCAACAGAGCAGCAGCAGCACCAGCAACAGCAACAACAAAACAGAAACAAACACACAAAAAAAATCAAAGACGCCAGCAAAGGAGCAGCAAAAACAACAACACCGACAGAACAGCAAAAGAAGAGAGGCAGCAATTGAAAGAAGAACGGAGGGAGAAGTAAGAGAAAGAATAGCACTGAACTCTTCTATACTCACATCCCAGAGCCTTTGAGTGCACAGACTTTGAAAGACGCTGTCTTTTTCGACAACAATTATATATTTCGCTGCTGTGGAGACCACTTCTGCTGTTAGCATCGCCTCAGTGACCATTCTTCCGTTTCCTGTTTGGAGGGAGAAGTGAAACGAAATTAAATATTAATAATAACGATGTTTTTCTTGCTGTTGCTGTTGCTGGTGCTGTTGCTGCTGATGTTGCAGTGCTGCAGCAGCGGTGGCTTCTAATTGTTTATACGGTTTTATTCAATTATTGATTAGGAAGAACAGTTGCTGCATTCTGCATGCAACAGCAGCGCTCAGAAACATCTTCTAACCGTCGTTGCAGCTCAACTCCGCACCGCCTTCTCCTCGGAATGTCAAAAGCCCAGCAATAGACCCTAGACAGAAGAAAATAATATTCGTTAAGTTCTTAGGGGATTAAAGAAAAGAGAAAGAAAGGAAATAGAAATCGTATTACCTCGCTCAGAAGCAAAGACCGACAGAGAGGCCCTTGGAACCCCCAACTGGCGCACAAGACCCTTCAGCAGTTAGTAGAGAAATTTTAACAAGTAGTAAAGAGTAGCTTCTTCTTCGAAAACGAGAATGCAAATACCTGCAGCACTCTGTTCATTTGTTGCTGACTGCAGAAGAGTTCAGGGCTCTTGTAGTATAACTCTCTCTGTGTCGCGCTTCTCTTCTAACAAGTACATGCAATAAAGAGCAATTAACAGCTTCAATGAGTATAATGCAAAGAATAAAAAAATATATTAATAATCCAATACAAATACTTACGTGCACTGCTAACGCGTGCAGCTGTTGCAGTAGAGCTGCTGCTGGATTTGTTAGTGTTTTTGTTTTTCGAATATCTTTTAAAATCAGCAAAGAAAAATAAAATATATTACTTTTAGCCATTCGATCGAATTGCAACAACGTCCATCCTCGGGTCTCTTTCCTTTTTTTTGCAACAGGACTGCAATTTTTCGTTTTTTCAGAAATACTTTGCACAATTTCTAAAGCGTGCTGTTCAAGAAGAGCCGAAATGCCTAAAGATAGACGTGCGATGCATTAAAAAGAAAGCAAATAAAAGGAAAAGAATAAACAAATAAATTTACATATATCGTCTTCAGAATGCCCCTCCATTTTACAGCTGCTTTCCAGTTGAAAGAAAAAGAAGAAATTGAAATGCAAAAACGAACGAAAGCCGCAACCGGCGTCGTGAGCTGCCTATACACCCCAAACGCTATTATTGCCTTTGAAACCGTTGCATGCATTCACAAATACATATGTGCATATATATATGTATATATATATATGTATATATTTAGATATTGACTGATTGCAAGAATATTGTAGTAATAATACAGACAAGTTCTTCTCCTTTCAGCAGCGATTCAAATATAGGAATTAAAACGCAGAAAAGAAAGAGAATGAGTGCTTTATTCTTTCTACACGTTGGTTGTCTTCTGAATGGAGGATTGAAAGCTTTCTTTGGAGTTAATTCATTGCTTTTCTTCTTCTTGCACTGCGGGCTGACAGGCAACAGATAAAAGAAAACACAAAGAGAAGAAGAAGAAGAAGAAGAAGAAGAAGAAGAAGAAGAAGAAGAAGAAGAAGAAGAAGAAGAAGCAGAAGAAGAAAGGCAGCAAAACCTAAATATATTTTATATTTTTTGCTGTATTCCGTCTGTTGCATTTATCGGCGATATTTCCCTCTTCTTAGGATTGGATTCACAGAAGACAGAGAATGATATAGTTGTAGCTGGTGCGTTCTTGTGTTATTACATTGTTTGTTTGTTTTTGCTTGTTTTTGTTTGTTTTTGTTTGTTTTTGGTTGTTTGCTTGTCGTTGCTGCTGCTGCTGCTGCTGGTGGTGATAATGCTGCTTATTGATTTCTTTTCTTCGATTTTTTAATTCTGCCGCCAGCTACCTAATTATCTTTTTGTGTGTTTTTCAGTTTGTCTTTCTAGTCGTAATTATTTGGTGTTGTTCGCCTTATGAAAAAGATTTTTTGATTGTCTTTCTATCTGCAGTTGCTCTCCGCCTCGCCCTTTCTTTGCTTATTTCAGCTCCCGTGTCTCTCTTGGTTTTCTCTCCCTCGTGCATAAACCCTAAACCCTAAACCCTAAACCCTAAACCCTAAACCATATACCTTAATAAACCCTCAGAGACCCTCCAGGTGTTAGGTTGTTTTAAATACAGCTAGCAAATGCACAAAGCAACACAACAAAGGCAGTTATGTCGCATTAAAATGCAAATAGAAAAAACCTGTCTTGGAGAGAAGAAGAAGAAGACGAAGAAGAAGATGAGGATGATGGTGAAGAAGAAGAAAAAGAAAAAGAAAAAAAAGAAAAAGAAGAAGAAGAATAAGACGCGTTTGTTTATTCGTGCAGCAGTTTCTTCGGGTGTTTCAGCAGCATCGAAGGCGAATGAAAAGATAAAGAAAAGACAAAAAAAAGGGCTGTGTATGCATGCATTCATGCATGCATGCATGCATGCATGCATGCATGCAAAGGTGTATAATATATGGCGTGTTGTTGTTTATTTGTTTGTTGTATTTTTTCTGCTTTTTGGTTTAAGCTCTTTTTCATATATTCTAAATTTATTTTTTTCTAGCTTCCTCCTTAACTCCTCTCGAGACAACGGATGCAACTCTGTTTCTTCTTCTTCTGAACTCTCTCTGCTGTTTGATGGATTAACAGCAGACGGCATCTTAATCTGTGGCTGGGGCTTCTTCATTTTGATAGTGCGATCTTGCTTCTTTCTCAGGGAGTCGCCTGCAGCAGCAGCAGAAGGCTCTGCTCCATCCCTTTGCTGCGCCAGCTGTTGCTGCTGCTGCTGCTGCTGCTGTTGCTGCTGCTGCTGTTGCTGCTGCTGCTGTTGCTGCTGGTTTTTGTGCTGCAGAAGGATACAAAGGAGAGTGTCTACAGCTCGCTCAATAGCCTGCAAATAATTGATGATAGCTGCGTCTTCAATTTCTTCCTGTGCCCACAGTTCATGCTTGTAGATTTCATCTCCCCTGATTTCTTTGAACATAACTTTGAGTGTTTGTTTAATATCATTTAGTTGTTTATCTGCTGCAGCATTTGTTGCTTCGAGTATGCAAGTCTGCTGATGCATTAGCAGCTCTTCAGCCTGCAATTCGCTGCTTTCTTCTTGTTTCTTCTTCGAGATTAGCTGCTGCTCTTCTGTACATAAATGAAGAGCCTGGCGAAGCTCCTGTACAGCTGCTTCTTGACTCTCTACTTGATCACTAAGAGAATTAACATAAGTAAATAAAGAAAAGTTATGTTCTTCTGCAACACGAAATGCAGCAATAAGCTCGTCTATGCTGCTTACTCGTGTTGCTGCTTGAATTTTTGCGAAGGCGCTGCGGTAGCTCTTAACCATAGACTTGTCTAATAGAGATGAGTAATCATTTTCTTCTTCTTGTTCCTTCCCTCTGAGCTGTGCATCCTCTTCGCATGCAGCAGCACGACGGGCTTCAAGGTTAGCGAGGCGCTGCTGCTGCTGCTGCTGCTGCTGCTGCCACCGACGCAGCTGCAGCTTCTCTAGGATTTGCTGGAGGTCTGCCCATTCTGTCTCGAAATTTCTTCTTTCTTTAGCTTCATCAGACTTAATAGAAGCTATCTTACGCTGAGCTTTGTCTCTAGCTGTATAGAATTCATTAGCTGATTTAATTAATTCAAATACTGCATGCTTCTGAGATACAAGATCGCTCTCTGCACGCCGACACAGTTGGTCGAAGCTAACTCTTTCTTTACGGAGACTATTAATTTCTTCTTTTAGCCGTTTGTTTGCTGCACATGCTTGGCTTTGTTTCTGCAGCGCTTTATCTAACCGACTTTCTAATGTACGAGTTTGCTTAGCAATAGTCTCGCTAGTTGCTCCAGCTGCATATACACCTCCTAAAGACCCAATAATCTCTCTGCATTTGCATACTCTTCCCTCTAATACATCGATATTCTTTAATAACTGCTGCTCTTCTTTCTTAGCATCAGAGATCTGCCTTAAGAATGTATGACAGCGCTCGTTCATCTGCTGCATGCGGGAACCTAATAAAGTATTCTGCTGCTGAGACAGAGCCTCCCGAGTCTGCTGCAGCTCTTTTTTAATTGCTTCATTCTCAGTCTTCAGCTTCTCTATTGAACGACGCTGCTTCCTTAAACGAACCTCTGCTGCATCTCCGAATGCCTTCGCTTCGTGGGCTACTAAACGCAGCTTTCGCTGATAGTCTGCCAGCCTCTCCTCCAGAGGCAAGCCCTCGGGCGGTTGCATTTTCACTCCATCACCATATGAAAAACTATCAAACTCTAAACCCTAAACCCTAAACCCTAAACCCTAAACCCTAAGCTCGACGATCATTGCTAGCCTTAAACAGGGTCACCTCTGCTCGCCAGTGCAAGACACAATGTTAATAATAACACATGCGCAGCCTCCCTGCCTTCAGGCAGATCTTAATAAAGTCTTTTCCCCCTAATTTCCCCCTCAATTATTACACAAGTTTAAAAGGTAAAGCCACTGTTTTGTTATAAACACGCTGCACCGCCTTGGGGCCCTGAGGGAGGCCGGAGAACAGCAGCCCCAGAAGCTGAATGCAATTTCATGCAAATGTGCTGCTGTTGAGATTCACTGCGAAGAAAAATGTTTTAAATATATTTATTGCATTTTATTAGTCGTAAGAAGAAAGATATAAAGGAGGATCAGCCTTAAAAAGACGGAGGGCTGACCCACCACCGACTGCATGCAGCATTTCGTCTGCTCGCCACCGACGCATGCGCCAATATCAGGAGATCTTTTTAAAATTTACTCGGAAAAATTGAATTTATTACTTTGTTTTAATTTTATTTTCTCCAGTTTTCCGCTCCTCGCGCTGCGGTATTGCTTCCCCAACGCGAGACGACGATGCGCGCCTCAGCGGTGTCGTATTTAAACTACCCAATTTATTCGGTCCGTAGGTCAATTTGAAGGTTTTTTTTAAATTTATTTCATTTTGATTTCGACATTTTATTCAGAGATTCAAACATTCCGCGTTTTTCCTTCTTTTTTCCGCGGTGTACAGGCAGCGAGCGATGGCTCTTTCGTAGTCACGTCTGGCGGCGGCGGAGGAAAAGAATACGGCATAGAAAATCAGTTGGTGCGTTTTATTTATCTTAATTTGATTATTATTAGTTGAAAAAACATCTTTGTCGTTCAATTAAACCCATTATTTCTCTTATTTTCATCCGCTTTCCCCGCTGCAATGCAGGAGGCACACACAGTCAATGCAGAAACTAATAAATTAATTACCGTCGACTCCATCACCACAGAAGGCGTCGTGGATTCTTTAAACCACAATGAACATGTATGCTGCAAACCCTAAACCCTAAACCCTAAACCGTAAGGGTCTTGTGTTGAATTTGCTTGGGTAGAGGCTCTACGTATTTCTTCTAGATAATGTTCTTAAGCGGGAGATTGTAGAGAAAAATGCAGTTGCAGAAAAATGTTTGTTAAGAGGGTTAATGAAACGCAGCCTACACAGAAGTGGCTTGATGACAGCACGAGGACACACGGAGGGTTTAGGGTTTAGGGTTTAAGGCTTAGGGTTTAGGGTTTAGGGTTTAGGGTTTAGGGGCTGTGAATGTAGTTTGAAGTTCTTTATACAAACCACCACGCGTCTCTTTTGTTCTTTTTTGCTGTTTGTCTTAGCCAAGCTGCGAGATGTGTCTATTTATTTGCTTTGTTCATTATTTTATTTTATTTTATTTTATTTTTATTTTAATATTATTTATCTACCCCGCTATTTGTTTCATTTCCTCGTTTATTTATTACGATTTGCAGGTTGGCCTCTTCTTGGGGTGCAGCGACAAAGAATGCATCCTTATAAAGATGGATGCGGAGAGCGGGTAGGGTTTAGGGTTTAGGGTTTAGGGTTTAGGGTTTGATGTGTTCAGTAGACTACTGTTATATGTGCTCGTTGTTCGTCTCTTTTCTTCTTTTCTTTCTTCTCTCCAAGGGCATCTGCACGTACACCCCAAGTAAACAACGAATTGTTGTTTACACGAGAATTCTGCTTTTATATGTTTATTTAAAGGCTTCTCTCAGCTCTTTTGCTTGTGGGGTTGGGGTGTACGTACAGCTTGCGAGTTGTGCATCGCTTCGGCAAAGAGGAAACAAGAAAACGCCTGGTGAGAGTTTGCTGCTGCTCAAGCTGTCTTTAAACAGCAAACGCTGCTGCTGCAGCAAACGCTGCTGCTGCAGCAGGCGTTGCTGCCGCAGCACCAAGCGTTGCTGCTGCAGCAGCAGAAGGCGTTGCTGCTGCTGCAGCAGGCGTTGCTGCTGCAGCACCAAGCGTTGCTGCTGCAGCAGCAGAAGGCGTTGCTGCTGCTGCAGCAGAAGGCGTTGCTGCTGCTTCAGGTGTTCATGCTGCTGCAGCAAGTGCTGCTGCTGCAGCAGCAGCAACGGGAGTACAGGAAGCCAGAGCGGCCTTGAACAGCAGACAACGCAGCAGCCACCGCATTTTCTTCAAACAAATAAATAAATTAAATAAATAAATAAATAAATAAATATATTAGTATTTAATATGTTTATTTTTTGCTCTTTGTTTGTTTGTTTGTTAGATTGTCGCTCGATTTTCTCCTTCAGGAGAATATGTGCTGGCTGGGGGTGAAGAGAAGACAATCTGGTGATTAAGATATTTATTTAAATTATTTTATTTGTTTTAATTTGTTTATCTTTAATTATCATATTTATTTAAGTTGTTTTATTTGTTTTAATCTTTTTACTGCCATTTGTTTCTCTGCTCGTCGTTTGCTGCTGTTGCTGCGCTGCGTATTTTTATTTTTTTGTTGCAGCTGTCTTCGTTTTGTTTTTCTTCATCTTCATTCTTTTCGTGCATTATTATTCATGCTGCTGCAGCAAGCGTTCGTTGCTGCTGCTGCAGCAACACTTGCTGCAGCAGCAGCAGCAGGTGTTCTTGCTGCTGCAGCAGGTTTTGCTGCTGCTGCATTATCTTTATGTTTATTATTCCTATTATTTTAATTGTTGTTTCTGCTATTGCTGCTATTACTATTGCTGCGCTTATTCTATTCATAACTACTTTGGTTTATGATTTATAATTTCGGGTGTATCTATTCTTTTCTTTATCGTTATTACTTTTATTATCTTAATATTATTTTTTTATCAATCAAGATTGAAGAACTCGATGGATTGGCGGGGGTTGCAGTGTATTTACACCCCGCAGCAGAAACACTGTAGCGCCTGCAGCAGCAGCAACAGCAGAAACAGCAGCAACAGCAGCAACAGCAGCAGCAAATCGTGAACAGGGCCAAAGGAGGCAGTTACTCGTGTGTAGATAGATAAAACAGCAGCATTGAAAGTGCGCAAGTAAGCTTTGCTGTTGATGCTGTTGCTGCTGCTGTTGCTGCTGCAGCGTGTGGAGGCTGATGGTTGGAGAGCAGCGAGGGACAGACGCAGCAGCAGGAGCAGCAGCAGCAACAAAACAGCAGCAGCAGCAGCAGATTCGTACAGAATTGGTGGCGGAGCTCCGTGGGCACGAGGGAGACATAAAAGACGTCTCCATGAGCGATGACTCCGAGCTCGTAAACCCTAAACCCTAAACCCTAAACCCTAAACCCTACTTATCTAAACTGTACCGTTTTTCAACGGCTTTGTGTGTGTTTCTATCGATGCTGCTTTTTTGTGTGGCTTTTGTCTCTCCCCAAACCCTAAACCCTAAACCCCAAACCCTAAACCCCAAACTCTAAACCCTAAACCCTAAACCCTAAACCCTTAGGGTTTTCTTGCGCATATGAGAGCAGGTGGTTTGCTGCGGAGGTGGCGGTCAGCTGTCTGTGTGGAGATGGAGGGAAGAAGAATTAGTGCTGTCACAGCAAATTGTAAACCCTAAGACAGACAAAGCCCTTAATGTTCGCTGCTGCAGGTGCGTGCAGACCCACGCCTTCTCTCTTTAATAAACGAGGGCTTATAAGGGCCTTGTATCCAACTGAGGGTTTAGGGTTTAGGGTTTAGGGTTTAGAGGGTTGGGGTGGGGCTAGCGACAGGCGGTAGATACACGCGAATGCAAGTGCATCTGTACTTGAGTGCTGTAAATAACAAAGAATAAACAATCATAAACAATAAAGCAAAAACAAACAAACAAACAAAAACAAAAAACAGTAAAACATACCCCTTGGCGCTCTGGGGTTTAGGATCAAGATGATTGTCTAGCATCATGCTTACCGTTTAGGGTTTAGGGTTTAGGGTTTAGGGTTTAGGGTTTGATTGCAGGTTCCTCTCGACTCCAGTGTCTGGCCCTTCTCCCCCCAAACGCCTCATCGCGCTCGCCAGCGACGTCCGAGGCCCTTCTTTTCTTTTCGGTTGGTGCGTTTGATCAGCTAGCTAGTCAGCCAGCTAGCTAGCACCCTACCTAGTTAGCTAGCTAGCTAGCTAGCCTCCTAGCTAGCCTCCTAGCTGTTGAGCTAGCTGGGTATTGGGCTATTGGGCTAGCTAGCTAGCTGTTTGGTGAGCTGGCTAGCTATTTGGCTGCTGTTTAGCTATCGATTTAGATGCGCGTTTGTATGGATAGCTAGCTAGCTAGCTAGCCAGGCAACTAGCTACAAGGTGTGGCGTTTGCTGCGCGGGCGTGGAGCTCTGATTGAAAAGAGAGGGCTTTAAGAATGGGTTTAAGAGGGGCTGGAATTTAATAGTGTTTAGGGTTTAGGGTTTAGGGTTTAGGAGTGGCTGTGCAGGGCAGTGGTGCGAGAGTCCGGCGAAGGCGCCGCGGCGAGCAGCGACAAGAAGACTGAGGACCCTCCTCCAGGAGGAGCAGCAGCAGCAGCAACAGGAGCAGCAGCAGCAGCAGCAGCAGCAGCAGGAGGCTTGAAGCTGCAGCAAGTTTGCTGCATGTGCTGTGACGCTTCTTCTCCCTGCTGCCAGCTGGAGATATCTGCAAATCAAAAATTAGTGGCGGTTGGCCTCGCAAACGGCAGCACCAAAATCTTCGATAGGGGGTATTCACAAACCCTAAACCCTAAACCCTAAACCCTAAACTGCAAACCCTAAGCAATAAACCCTAAACCACAAACGCTAGTCATTGTATCGTGAACCCTTAACCCCCAAACCCTAAGCATTAAGACATGAACCCTAGAGATTTGACCCTAAACCCCAAACATTAAACCCCTAAGCATTAAATCCTCCGCCCTTAACATTGAACCCTAAACCCTAAACATTAGACCCTAAACCCTAAGCATTAAACCCTATGCACTAAATGCTAAACCCTAGGAGGCAGCTCTTGGAGGGCGCATGAACGAAATTTAGGCTTCCGCTCCTGTTGATCGCTTCGCCGCCACCCCACAAACCCTAAACCCTAAACCCTAAACCCTAGGGCGTGTGTGGGGCCTCAGGCTGAGTTTAGTCGCGAGTCAATCGGCCCACGAACTGCCAGTCACAGCTCTTTGCTTCGTTCAGAAGGGGGCTCTTCTCATCTCTACAAGCGCTGATTACTCAGTTGCTGTCAGCTGCTGCGGCTGCTGCTGTTGCTGCTGCTGCTGTGTTGTTCGAGCTGCTGCTGCTGCTGCTGTTGCTGCTGCGGCTGTGTTGTTCGAGCTGCTGCTGGTGTTGCTGCTGCTGGTGTTGCTGTTCTGTTTGAGCTGCTGCTGCGGTGCTCCAGTTGCTGCTGCTGCTGCTGCTGCTGGGCGCCAACCTCACTGCTGCTGCTGGTTCTGCTGCTGTGTGCAGTTCTTGAGCACATCCCCGCGTCCGCTGCTGCGCTGCTCCAGCTGCTGCTGCTGCTGCGTCTTTCTGCTGCTCTTCTTTGCTGCTGCAATAGTGGTGGTGCTGCAGCACGTTCTGTACGTGGGGCAGCAGCAGCTGCTGCTGCGACAGCAAGCCCTCTCTTCAGGGAATTTTGAGGCCACACTGGGAGACATCCTTGCTCAAAGGCTGCAGCAGGAGCAGCAGCAGCAGCAGCAACAGCAGCAGGAGGCATTAGATATGCCTTTTGATATTGAACAGCTTCAGAAGCAGCAGAAAGACAAAACAAAGCCGCATAAGAAAAGCCCCCATGATGAACTATGAATAAAGCTGCTGCAGCTTTTGTTGCATCTACAGCAGCAGTCTCAGGCCTAATGCTAGCAAAGGAAGAAGCAGCAGCAGCAGCGGTTGCTGCAGCTGCTCCTTCTGCTACTGGCCTTAGGCATGCGCTCGTTGGTTCGTGCTGCAGCGGCAGCAGCAGCAGCAGCAGCAGCAGCAGCCGCAGCAGCACATGCCCTATTTAGGCCAGGCTTTAGAGGTGGCGAAATCGCAAAGGAGCAGCAGAATTAATCCTTTCCGGCGGCAGACTGCAGCAGCAGCAACGCTGCTGCTGCTGCTGCTGCAGCTGCTGCAAACCGCCTGCCGGCAGGCAGCATGCTTTTTTTTTCTTTTTTGGGTTTTGTTTGTTTTCGACTGAAGGCATTTTATACTTCATTTTCTGGCGGTGGACGTACACCCCATTTTAATGCTTAAGACCCTCCTGTTCCTAGCTAGCAGTTGTTGTTGCTGCAGCAGCTGCTGCTGCATCTGCTGCTGTTGCTGTTGCTACTGTTACTGAGGGTCACGTAATTGCAGCCCATGCATTCGCATTTGTCTCACTGACTTGCCTGCTGCTGTACACTATATATATATATTCAACTATATGTACATACATATTTATGATTTATATATTATATTTTCATTGTTCACTGTATTATTAGATGTGTAAAGAACTTGCAATAAGAAGACTCCGTTTGGCGTCAGCCCTTTCGTAGTATATTATAGGGGTTCTGCATATTTAAGTGTTGCTGCAGCGTTTAAAGAGTAAAAGCTAACAGCAATTGAAGTAGAGAGAGCAGAAACAAACGCAACGTATGCTGTTCAATCCACCAACCTCATGCAGCAGCAACAAAGGGGGTTTGTTTATTCTTATGCTGGCATACACTGCTGCTTTGCAGCAGCGGATGCAGCAAAAGATGCAGCACCAGATACAGCAGGAGGTGCTGCAAGAATTACTGTGAATGCTATGACAAGAGAACGCTACCCCCAGTTCTCATTTTCTATCAGGCTGAAGGAATCACTCTTGCTGCAGTGGCCAGGAGGCCTGTAGGATGTAGAAAAGATTAAATGTATTTGTTATGAGCTCTTATTATTACTACATATTACTCTTTATCCTGTTGCAGCTCGCGCCGGTCCTGAGTGGTGTGAGATCGAGGCCTCCCCCTCGCTCCCAATGCACCGCTATATATTAGCGTTATTTGCTGCGTTGTGCCCTCTTGTATTGGCTTCTAAACACTCTAAAGAGAACTTACAGCGAAATGGGTATAGGCAGGAAGTTCAAATGAAACCAGTTTAAGCGGAGGTGCCGTGCAGGTACCTTTGCATCTATGTACAAGTTGTATACGCGCACGCAGCGGGGGGTCCGTGTAGCAATATGAATTGCTTAGAAGCTGAACTGAATCTGACGATTAACTAAAAGGGAGAAATCAAATAAAAATCCAATGAAGAAACGCTCTAAAGGAACTGCCGCGCCGTCCTGTTTCTGAAATCCTTTCACGGAAACGCACGGGTGAGCGCCGCCGACCGAAGGATTCCGATGATTGATTTTCGCGATCTTCGTGGCGAATGAGTAAAATAGGGGGAATATAATTGATTAATATAGTTTAAATCGAGAAAAAACAATAAGAAATGGGTCTAATTGACAGCTTCCCACTGGGCATGCAATGCATGTACTACGTCGTACGTGCTGTATGTACACCCGAAGTGTCAGCACATCTACGGCCAGCAAAACGGCAACCCCTACAAGACATGTTTCTGTCTGCTTTTTAAGCCTTTCTTCGGCGTCTGCCGCCGATGAAGTGCTCGTGTCATTTCTTCCTTCCTTCCTTCTTCCATTTGTATTTCCGTCGCCTTTCGCCTTTCGGGGGGCCCCATCGGACCGCCTGCGCAGCAACTTCTCTGCTCCACTCTAAGCTGTATGCCTCGCTGCTCCCTCATTGAGGCGCGCAAACAAAACCACTGTCAGAGCGTCTACAGCAACAGGGGTCAGCAGAAGCAGCAACTGCTGCACCGGCAGCTGCAGCAGAAGCTGCTGCTGCAGCAATCACCGCTGAAAGTCGCGTTGGAAGGGGGAGGTTACGCAGTTGTCTCTCTTTTTTCTTTGTCCCATTGTCTCTTCAACCGTTTACGTGTTAGCTAGTTAGACTGGGGAGCAGCTTCAGCAGCCGCTGACCTCGCTCCTGCCCGCGTCTCCTCTGCTGCTGCTCGCGTTGCTGCTGCTGCTGCTCCTGCTGTTATTGCATGCAGAATGGAGGGGCCTAACTCCTCTGCCGGCGCCTCCGGCATTCAGAGGGCCATTCAATTCCTTATGCAAGCCGCCGAACGAACAGCCGACGGGAGCCTCGGCAAGGGAATTGCAGCAGCAGCAACTGCAGCCGCAGCAGCACCGAGTGCAACAGAGGCGCCAGCATCATCAACACAACAAATAGCAGTGCCACCGGCCCCCCCACGAGCGGAAGTTTCCTCGAAAGCAGACGCAGCAGCAGTCCGCGTTAGGGCTTCCGTGTCTACGCAGACAGTACCAGCGCCAGCAGCACCAGCACCAACAGCAGCAGCAGCAGCAGGGCGACCGCTGTTCCCTGCAGCTGCAGCAATGGATTCATCTCAGGGTCCCCCGGGGGCTCCCAGGGTCCCGGTTGAGCGCCGCGCGTCTCGCGAGCGGCTGCCGACGTTAGACTCTGCCTTCGCGCCGCATGCAGAGGAGGCAGAGGAGAGCGGCTTCTCTCAGTTGTGTAGATACACCACAGAAGTCATTCTGGCGGGGGCCCCCCAGCTGGGGAGGCCCTTCCTAGGAGGAGGGAACGACGAGCTGCAGCCGGCAGAGCTGCTGCAGTGCGAACATATGCTTCTTGACGAAGAGGAGCAGCAGCTGCTGCAGCAGCAACAGCAGCAGGTGCAGCAGCAGCAGGAACAGCAGCAGCAGCAGCAGCAGTTTGCTGTCTCTCCTGCAATTCCTTCGGACTCCACGAGTCCTCCACCCTTGCTGCAGCTGCCTATACACTCGGAGGTGGCTGGCGTGCCGCCCTCTTTGCTGCTGCCGCACGTCTCCTACCGCCTTGCTACTGCAGCAGATCGGCAGCAGCTGCAGCAGCTGCATGCAGAGACCTTTCCCTTCAGCTACAACGAGGCCTTCTACTCCTACATCTGCTCGGGTAGGGGCTACGCTCTTCTTGCTACAATACGCCGCCAAGACATCCAGCGAGTCAAACAACAGCTGCAGCAGCAGCAGCAGCAGGAAAAGACGAACGGGCGGCATGAGATTACAGGGAGCAATGGCGCTTCAACAACAACAACAGAGGCAGCAGCAACAGCAGCAGCAGCAGCAACAGCAGCAACGACTGCAGCTCCGAGCTCGGACCGATTGTCTTCTTGGTTTTCTTCTTGGCATTCTACGAAGCAGCAGCAGCAGCAGCAAGAGCAGGAAGAAGAGCTGCTGATTGGCGTTATAACTGTGTCACAGAGTCCAACATATATTGGAGTAGAAGACGCTGAAGTTGTGCGTCGCTGGGTGCAGCAAAAGGAAGAGGAAATGGCAGAAGCTGCTGCTGCTGCAGTTGCTGCTGATGCTGCTGCTGGAGTAAGTAGTGATGCTGATGATGATGCAGACCCTACCTCAGCAGCAGCAGCAGCAGCAGAATCGGATGAGGAGAAGCTTACCGCTGAAGGCCCTGTGGGGTTGTGCCGTCTGCAAGCTGCAGCGCGAGAAGAGCGGCAGTTGGGTTGGAGTGCATTTCTCTCAGGCTTCAGCCAAGAGAGCAGCAGGGCCCGAACAGCAGCAGCAACAACAGCAGCAGCAGCAGCAGGATCGGAGTGTGGTGCTGCAGCAGCAGAGAGCAACGACGGGGGGGCTAATAGGAATGGATGCCGCTCTGAGGAGGGGGAGAAGGAGCGGAGCGACTTGGCGTATGTATTGACGTTGGCTGTTGCTGCTCCTTTCCGCCGCTTAGGTGTTGCTGCTGCTTTGCTGCAGCGAGCAGTGCTGTACTTCCAGTCACCAGCAAACCCTGCAGCAACTGTTGCGCTGTATCTACACGTGGCAGAGTACAACCAAGCGGCTTTAAACTTCTACTTGCAAAACAGCTTCACAAATGTCTATCATTTCCCTGAGTTTTACTCAATAGACGGCAGGCCTTACGGCTCCTATCTTTGCTGCATGCACTTGCACGAACGCTGCAAAGCATGTTGCAGCAGCAGACGCGCAGCAGCAAAGCGGCAGCAGCAGCAGCAAGCACTCCTAGATAAACACGCTCGAGGCCTTGTTAAAGGACTTGAGGGAATAGGAAGGGCCCTCAAAGCCGTACGCTCCTCCGTCACTGACTTCCTGCAGCCTGCAGCAGCAGCAACAACAGCAACAGCAGCAACAGCAGCAGCACCAGCCGCAGCAGCAGCAGCAGAGGGAACAAACCACAACCCCACAGCATAACACGCTCGAAAATATAAGACGCCGCAATCTGCTGCAAGCGCATGCGTACAACAAAGCAACTAACAACGCAAACAAACAAATACTCCAGCAGCAGCAGCAGCAGCAACAGCAGCACAACACCGCGAGCAGCAGCAGCAGCAGCAGCAACAGGATGGCTCTCTATAGTTGAATTTAAAAGGTAGGAAAGAAGCAACAGTCTCCACAGCCGGTGTTGAGGGGGGGCTGGGGGCCCCAGTAGTTGTGAAGTCAGGGGTCCGACAGGGATCTCCTTACAGGTTCAAGGCAGCGTCGATAGGGCCCCCTGAAGGCGTGTCTAGGGCCCCCTAAAGGGGTCTTTAGGGCCCCCTAAAAGAAGCGTTTAGGGGCCCCTAAGAGACTTCTTTATGGGGCCCTAAGACGCATCGGGGGGCCCCTAAGAGACATCTCTTGGGGGCCCCTAAAAGGTGTCTCTTCGGTGCTTCTAAGAAGCAGCATGGGGCTCCATATGCGTTGCAAGGGCCCCCAAGAGGCGTCTCTTAGGGACTCCTAAGACACTGCAGGGGGCCCCTAAGGGGGCCCTTACGTGGGCCCCTATGAGGGCCCCTAAGGGGGCCCCTAAGTGGGCCCATATGGGGGCCCCTAAGTGGGCCCCTAAGGGGGCCCTTAGGGGGTTCCTAAGGGGGCCCCTAAGGGCCCCCCTAAATGACGACTCCGGGGCTGGTATGACACTGCAGGGGCGCCTAGAGAGGCCTCGTAGGGGCCCTTTAGAGATGCCTCTGGGGACACTATTGCTGTATAGGTTGCGGTTAGGGGGGGTTTGTTAGGGGCCCCCTGTTATAGGGGTAACATTGGAAGGGCCTTTGTGAGGCTGCAGCAAAGGGAAAGAAAAGAAGAGAAAGCTGCTGAATTTGTTCGTGCTGCTGCTGCAGCAGCAGCAGAAGAGCTGTTTTTTGTTTCCTTTAAGTCAATACCTGAGGGTCTGCAGAGATTGCTTTGTTTGTTATATTTTAGGTGTATATTTAGGGGGTTTTAAATATAAACAGATATTTAAAAAATAAACAAATACAGAGAAGTAGGAGATAGAATGCATGCAGACAGACAATATATTATATATTTATATTTATTTTTATTTGTATTTAGAGTTAAACTTAGACCTCGCTCTTCGCATTTATTTTCTTTTATATATATAAAAAGCAGCAAAACAAATAAACGCAAATATAATATATGCATAATAGAGACGAGCATATGTTCATAAAGCAGCAAGAAACAGCGCTGTGTTGTTGTTTGTTTGTTGTGTCTGTTTATTGTTGTTTTTGTTTATTATTGTGTTTGCTTGTTTATAGTTTTTGTTTGTTTTTGTTTTTGTTTGTCGTTTTTTTGTCTGTTTTTCTGTTGCTGTCTGTCTGTTGTCTGCTGCTTATTTTTTATTGCTGCTGTTTGTTTAGTTGTTGCAGCAAGAATAAACGAACATCAAAATAAAAGTAATAAACAAACGGCAGCAATAGAATACAAACAGCAACACATACAGAAGACAGTTTGCTTTCATTGCTGCTGCTATTCTTGTTTTTGTTTTTGTTGTTGTTTATAGAGACTGTTTCTATTGCTGTTATTTATATTTGTTTTTGCTGTTGTTTGTATTGCTCTGGCTCTCCGATGTGCGTAATACTTTAGACGCTGTATTATTTGTTTTGTTTGTGTTTACTCGTATAGAAAGAAACTGTTTATCTTTGGTTTTGCTTACCTCTGTTTCTCTGTTGCTGTTCGTCTTCTATTGCTGCCGTTTGTTTATTACTTTTATTTTGAACAATTAGTTTTTATACATATATAGCTAAGCCTTCTCTTTGTCTTTTTATCTCTGTCTCTTCTGTTCTTTGTCTTTGCTTGCTTTTGTTTATCTTTGCTTCTGTTTATCTCTGTTTCTCTTTGTTTTTTTCTGTTTTTGTTTCCTTTCTATTATTCTTTTATGTCTAATTCTTCTACTTATTATCAAAAAGGCATTCGCAACGACAAAAAAATAATATTATTATATTTGTTTTCATTATTATAAAGGCATTTGCTTACAGATTAAATATATTTTTATTATATAATAAACTGTTCTTTACATACGCTTATATATATATATGCATATATACATATATATATATATATTTAATAATTTGCATTTCTTTTATTTAAAAAATTGTTGCTGTTAATTTGTGAAGACACTCCGAGGAGAACATCGCCAACACTTTTATAAAATTGTCTCCTTGCCTTTTGTTATTCTTTTCATTTTATTTGTTTGTTTTGTTTGTTCTGTTTGCTCGTTTGTTTTGTTTATTTGTTTGTTTTGTTTATTTGTTTGTTTTGTTTATTTATTTGTTTTGCTCGTTTGCTTGTTTTGCTGCATTTGTAGGCCTCAGCCGCGAATGTCTTCGACTGTATCTTTTGATTATTTTTATCATTTGTTTGCTGCCGTTTCTTGTAAAGCCTCTGTTATCTGTTTTGTTTATTTTATTTATTTTTGTTTCTTTTAAAGCCTTTATTTGCTGCTTCTTCCTCTGCATCTGCCGCAGCAACTGTTATTTGTTTTTTTTGTTTTATTGAGTTTCCTATAAAACCTTTATTTGCTGCTTCTTTCTCTGCATCTGCTGCAGCAACTGCAGCAAAGATGAAGAACGAAGACATCCCAACAGAGAGGCCTCATAAAATGTTTTTGGTTTATACAGCGAAATCTTCTCCTCCTCCTCTGCACTTAAAAAAGGAAAGAGAGACCTAAAGCAGCAAAAAACAAACAAATTTATTTTTTATATCAACTCATAAATAAATAAATAAATAAATAAATAAATAATATAAATAGATAAACACAAATAAATAAATATATATATATATATATATATGTATGTATGTATGTATGTATAGATAAATGCATAGATAATTCTGTTATGAATATATTAAAAAGATATTAATAAATATGCGTAAATAAATATACAATAAATAAATGTGTGGATTAATAATAAAAGAAAATATAAGTAATAAATAAATGCATTTAAATAAATAAATTCGTAAATAAACAGCAAACAGCAAATAAATACAAATAAACAAATAAACAAATAGGAACGAGGATAAATAAATAAATAGACACAAATAAACAGCAAATAGAGAAATGCACGTGGAAGACAAATAAATACGTAAAAAACAAACAATAAAAGGAGAGAAAAACAAACAAATGAAGTAGAGGAGAGTGCATACAAAGCAAAGGACAGACAGACAGAAACAAAAAGAGACAAATAGAGAGATAAACAATGAAACAAAAATACACCCAAATAAAGATAAAAAAAAGAGACAAAGAGACAGAAAAGAAGAAGAGAGAGAAATAAAAAGTAAATAAATAAAGAGACAGAGAGACAGCAAGAAGGAAAGGAAGAGAGAGACAAAGAAATAGACAAAAAGTTGTAGAAATTAACAGCGATAGAGGCGCAGCATACCTGTTGATAGGCTGAGGCAGCAGCAACTTCGATTTTGTTGCTGCTTCTTCTTTTTCTTCTCTATCAAAGTAAAATGCATAGCGAAGCTGAGCAAAGACAAATGCAGACAAATGCCCGTTAAAAGAAGGAGACAGACACTGCAGCAAAAGGCTAATCATATCTTCAATCTCTCTTTCTTTCTCTCTTTCTTTTTCTTTATCTCTTTCTTTTTCTTTCTCTCTTTCTTTTTCTTTCTCTCTTTGTCTCTCTGTCTCTCTTTGTCTCTCTGTCTCTCTTTGTCGCTCTTCGTCTTCTCCTCTCGCTGTACCTCCTCTTTTTGTCGCTCTATCTTTCTCTGTCTCCGTCTTCGTATCTTTCTTATCTTTTTCTTTTTCTTTTTCGTTTTCTTTTTCTTTTTCCTCTCTTTCAGAATCCTGTCTGTTTTCTTTTTCTTCAACAGTTTTATTATTTTGAATTTCTTTTGTTTGTTTCTGTCTTCTTTTTATTGCATCTGCAGCCACGGCTGCCACCATTTGCACTGCTAGGCAATCCATACCCACTTCTTCTTCTTCTTCTTCTTCTTCATTTGCTTCTTCTTTTCTTCTTTTTAAATGCATCTTCTCTTTAAATAAAACATCTCGCATATGCAATCCCTCAAAAACAGGGGGCCCCACATGGACGCCCTCTAAACGGGGGCCCTCTTTAAGGCCCTCTATAAGGGGGCCCCCTGTGGGGCCCTTTAGAGGGGGCCCCTCTTTAAGACCCTGTGCAAGGGGGCCCCCTTTGGGGCCTTCTGTAAGGGGGCCCCCTGTGGGGCCTTCTGTAAGGGGGCCTCTTGTGGGGCCCTTTAGCGGGGGCCCCTCTGTGGGGCCCTCTGTAAGGGGGCCCCCTTTGGAGCCCTCTGTAAGGGGGCCCCCTTTGGAGCCCTCTGTAAGGGGGCCCCCTGTGGGGCCTTCTGAGGGCCCCTCTGTGTTAGGATGAGGTTGGATGACGGGCCCCTGTGTTAGGGTTCTGTTGCGTGGGGGGCCCCCCTTGTCTGTTTTGTTCATTGGGGGCCCCTGTTGTTGTGTGGGTTTAAGAAGAGAAGGAGGTAATGCTGAGAGCAACTGCGCAACAGAGAAGCGCCCTTGTCTCCTGCTGCAGACGGAAGATAATGCATGCAGCCCCTGCAGCAGCAAAGATAGAGGCGCATGCAGCCGCTGCGCGTGTACCTCCTCCTCTGTTGCTGCTGCTGTTGCTGCTGCTTCTGCTGCTTCTGAGGACCCGACGCCTCTGCTGGTGCAGCCAGGCCAGCCCGCAGCTGCTCCGAGGCGCGTTGCTGCTGCTGCCGTCGTCCTTGCTGCTGCTTCTGCTGCTGCTTCTGCTCCCGCGCCTGCTGCAGCAGCAGCAGCAGCAACACGTTGCTGCAAGTCCTCTAAGCGATGAATTACTTTAGTGAATAAAGACAGCCACTGGGGAGCAGACAATTCAAAGTGCCTACAGTGCAAACAAACAAAACAAAAAGAAAAGGAGATTAAAAAATAATCAAACGCAACGCCAACACTAACAAACAACAGCTGCACACCCACCCAATCAAACCACCACACAATTAACAGCAGCAGCAGCAGCAGGAGCAGATCAGCAGCACAAGCATCAGCAACAGCACCATAAGCGGCAACAGTGCTCGCAGCAGCATCACGAAGTTCAGAGGCAGCAGCGGAAACAGCAATTTTAGCAGCAGCAGCAGCAGTTTCAGCAGTTGCAACAGCAGCTTCATCATCATCATCAGCAGCAGCATAATCAGGAGCAGCAGCAGCAGTTGGATCCTCAGCAACAGCAGCATTTGCAAGCTTGGGGTGTGTTGTATACCGTAAGAAGTTGGCGATTTGCGTGCCTGTGCGGTGTCTATGCATCTCTCTTTTAAATCTTTTTTCTGTTTTATTAATGAGGCCGCCTCTTAGAGCCCAAGGCAGCAGCCGCTGCGCTGCATTGTCGCTCCGTACAGACAGCCGAGCACTCAACTGAGCAGCAAAAGCCCTCAGGGGTTCGCTCATATTCAATGTTAGCAGCTGCTGCGCCACACAACCCGTCATGCTGCGAGACGCATCTAGCACAATACAAGCTGGAAGAGAGTCTGCAGAAGCTGCTGCTGCTGCTGCTGCAGCAGCGGCAGCAGTGCTGCTGTTGGTGTTGGTGTTGGTGTTGCTGTTGTTGTTGTTGTCGGTGTTGTTGTTGTTGCTGCTGCTACTGGTACTGCTGCTGCTTGGGCTGCTGCTATTGCTGCTGCTCCCGTTGCTGCTGCTGCGGTTGCTGCTCGGGCCCCCAACGATGTCGCTAATCATTGTTCTTGCTTCCGCAGCTGCTGCTGTTGCTGCTTCTGTTGTACCTGTAGCTGTTACTGCTGCAGCTTCTGCGGTATCTGTTGCTGCTGCTGCTGTTGCCTCTTCTGCTGTATTTGTTGCTGCTGCTGCTGCTGCTTTGCTGCTCTTTTTATTTGTGCGTCGACTTAATACAAACAGCGCAGCGTTCCACCCCGCCAGCAAACCCAAAGCTGCTGCCTCTTCATATCCTAAGACAAACAAATGCAAGAAAAATTTTTAATAAAAAATCATTAATAACAAACAAACAAACAAACAAATACAGAAAGAATCAATAAACAAGTAGAAACAGCAGCAGACACAGGAGAAACACCCGCAGCAGCAGCAGTACCCTCAGCCATAGTAGCACAGCAGCAGCAGCAGCAGCAGCAGCGCACGCAGCAACTGCAGCAGCCGCAGCACCCGCAGACGCAGCAGCCACAGCAGCCACAGCACCAGCACCTGCGGACGCAGCAGCAGTGCCCGCAGCAGCAGCACCCGCAGAAGCAGCAGCCGTAGCATCGCTCGTAGCAGCAGCGCCCGCAGCAGAAGCAGCAGCAGCGCCCGCAGCAGCAGCAGCAGCAGCAGCGGCCGAAGCAGCACCAGGATGATGATAAGCACCTGTAGTTCCCAGGACTTGTCCCGCAAAGAAGAGGCCTTGAATATGTTTTGCTTCGAGGGAGGGTTTAAGTTGGCGGCCGCGAATAATCTGATATTCTACATCATAGGCCGGGCGCAGCATTACTGCTGCTTCAAGGCCTTCTATTGAGTGCAGCAGCTGCTGCTGCACTGCAGCAGAAAAAGCACCTGATAAACCCCCAGGATACACCACCGATAGATCGCGGTCTTCGGGCTCCAGCCACACTATGTGCTGCTCGTTGTGAGGAAATAAACGCATCTGAGCACAAACCCTAAACCCTAAACCCTAAACCCTAGGCATTGGATCTGAATTTATGCCCTCATTTTCACACCACCTACTACGGGAACTTGCTGAAGAACTTCAACCCCAAACCCTAAACCCTAAACCCTTAACCCTTTCAGTGGTGGATGGGCGGCGTGGCATTGAATTAACGTTGAGACGTTCTTTATCTCTGTGACGGTCTCCTGTTGATGGTTTACGCATTTCAGGGTTTAGGGTTTGTTAGGATTTGCGCATTGTTAGGATTTAGGGTTTGTTAGAGTTTAGGGTTTGTTAGAGTTTAGGGTTTATTAGGGTTTAGGGTGTATTAGGGTTTAGGGTTTGGTTGGGTCTACACCTTGTTTGCGATGGAGGGGCAGTATCTGGGCCCCACTCCTTTGCCTTCATTTCCGCGGTGTATCGGCAGCGAGTGCAGCTGCTGCAGCACAATTTGTTTAGTTTGCTGCGAAGTTTTTGTTATAAAGCAATCAATCCAACGATGTCGGCGCCTCCGCAGTTGCTGAGGTGTATGTACACCTGAAAAAGGCCGGGGAACAGAATCTGATGGCTGCCGCTCCAAACGCGAAAAATCAATTGAAGAACCCAACAAGCGAGCGGGGGTTCCTGCATGCAGACAGCAGCAGCAGCAGCACCAGCATCAGCAGCAACAGCAGCAGCAGCAGCAGCGGCAATAGCATGAGCAGCAGCAACAGCAGCGGCAGAAGCATGAGCAGCAGCAACAGCAGCAGCAGCAGCAACAGCAACAGCACAGCAGCAGCAGCAGCAAAAGCAGCAGCAGCAGTGGTGGTGGTTGTGGTGGGGACACGCTGTCTAGAATGGGTTTGATTGATTTGCTCGTTTTCATGTCGTTCTTTCCTTCTTTGTGTGTGTTTGTATCTATTTCTACACCTAAGCAGATACAAATATATGTCTATATCTATGCCTATAACTATACCTACATCAATATATATGTACATATGTTTATATATATATGCATGTAGATATACAGATATAGATAAATATACATATATATATAGACATATGTATATACGTATATGTATATATATATATATAGACATAGGTATATACGTATATATATGTATATATACATATATATATTACACATATTTATGTAGATATACATATAGATACAGATATATAGATTTATATATCTCTATGTATGTAAATAAACAAAAAACTAGATCAATATATATATGTATATAAATATCGATACGATATGTTTATATGCAGATATATATATGTGTATATATGTAGTTATATATGTACGCATATACACATATACATGTATAAATCTATCTCTTTCTTTCTCTTGCTTTCTTCCTGTTTTTGTTGTTTATATTTGCATATTTGTCAATAATAAACTACGTTAGTTTCTTCTTTCTTTTGTTTAGAATTAAATATCTGTGAGCGACAATATAAAAGAACTCCTTTGTTTTCCTTTTTTGTTTTTGTTTGTCTTTACCTGTTTTAAAATAAGCTGTCTCAAGCCCTAAGCGCTGTAAAGATGCCGCTAGCCCGTCTGCTGCTGCTTCTACATGGAGAATTTCTGCAGGTAGCTGCTGCTGCTGCTGTTGTTGTTGCTGTTGTTGTTGCTGCTGCTGCGCACTTCGCGCCGCTGCTGCTGTTGCCTCGGCAAGCGAATGCATGCGCCCCCCTTGTGCTTTGCTGCTGCCTACAGCAACAGCAGCATCTAAGAAAGTGCCCGCAGCAACAACAACTGCTGCTGCAGCGACTTCCCTCCCGTCTTTCAGCCGCACTCCCCACACCCTCTGCTGCTGCGGCTGCTGCTGCTGCTGCTGGAGGGGCTCAGCGAGGATTTCTTCAGCTGTAGCATCTAAGAAGGAAAGAGTAGGAAAAACAGCAGCAAACCGGCGCATGCAGGAAGCAAAGAGACAGCGATCCAGCAGCACACGCGTAACCCATGCTGCTGGGCCCCTTGATATATTTAATACTTTCCAGTGCAGTGCAGCAACATCAGCAGCACGACCGATTAGGCCCCCGCATGCATCTACTTCCGCTAGCAGCAAACTCTTGCCGCTGCCGCCTACAGAAGGATTGCAAGACAACACCCCCAAAGAAAGAATACCACCGGGGCTGGCAATGCATGCATGCAAGCCCAATCGTGCTGCTGCAGCCGCAGCTTCTATCCCTGCATGGCCCCCCCCAACAACCAGCACGTCGTACTGCTGCTGCTGCTGCTGCTGATGGTGCTGCTGCTGCTGATGCTGATGCTGCGGATGAGGATGCTGCTGTTGCTTCTGGTGATGCTGCACCTGCTGCCGCGATTGATGCTGATGCTGCCGCGAATGCTGTTGCTGCGGTTGCTGCTGCTGCGGTTCTTCCTGCTGCTGCTGTTGCTGCTGCTCTTCCGCTGAATCCAAGTTGCCGTCAAGGACGGCAGAGGATATTTTCTGGAGCTCAAAGTTCACATGCTGCTGCTGCTGCCGCAGCTGCTTGTCGATGTTCTCCTGCTGCTGCTGCTGCTGCTCCAGTTGCTGCAGCCGACGACGAAGTAGCAGCCGCTGCGTTGCTACGGGGGACTGCTGCCAATGGCTTAACCCACTGCCCACGTCAGGTGTGCAGCAAACCCTGCTGCTGCTACTGATGAAGCTGCTGATGCTGGTGCTGAAACTCCTGATGCTGCTGTTGCTAAAGATGCTGCTGAAACTGCTGCTGCTGCTGCTGCTGCTTTTTTTGTCTGGGCGAGTCTTCGATGCTGCTGCGACGTAGGCGTTAACTAGGGGAGTTGGAGCCCACGCGGGGGCAGCAAGTCGAGTTGGTGCTGCTGCGGTGCTGCTGGTTCTGCTGCTGCTGCTGCTTTTGCAGCAACAGTTGCTGCTGCTGCCTCCATCTCCTGCGGCTGCGGCTGCCAACACACAAGGGGCGGCAGTACCAGTAACCACGGAAAGCAGTTCCAGCAGAAGCAGCAGCAGCAGCAGAGCCCAGAGTCTCTGCTGCTGCGGCAGTTGTTGCTGTTCCTTCTGCTCCTGCTGCTGCTGCTGCTGGTGTTTACAGTTTTGCATTTCGCCATTGCTGCGCCGTCGATGCTGCTGCGGCGAATTCTTTCCCTCGTTTATGTCAATTCATATTTGTTTTTTCTTGAAAACATCAACTCATTAAACCCTTCTATTTGATTTATTTGTGCTAACTCTCCTTAAGACAACAGCATCAAGCTGAGGGCTAAGGGGGCCTCCTACCGCCAGGAGAAGCCAAGAGATGAATGGCTGTCTATGGGCTGTTATATCTCTGCATTTTCCGCAGCATTTGTTAATACAATTTATTACAATTTATTTTATTTTGCTTTTTTATTAATCAATAATATTAATGTATTGTTTATCTATTCTTCTGCTCAATCAGTGGAGGGAAGCCGCTCTCCCCAAAGTTCTATTTAGTGCTTTCTTGCAACAAACCCGCTCCGGTGTTTCTATGAGACAAAATATTCTTTTCTTTATAATTACACCCAATAGCTGGGAAACACAGACACTCAAAGTTATTCATAGATAGCCCCTCCCCCCTCCTCTTCTAATCGAGGGCTAGATATAGGCTGGATGGCCTGGTGTGTAGCACTACTAAAAAGGTGCTTTGCAGAGAGAAAAAAAAATACAAGGTTTAAGCATTCTCCCTAAATTATTGAGAAAACCCCTTCAGCCTTCTTATAAGGAAGAGCGAAGAGGTGCTGCTCTCACGGTTGAATGTCTGTCTCGTTGCAATGATATTAGTACAGCATTACCTGCATGCGTTGTAGCAGAAGAAGACATTTCAGAGAAAACAATAAAAGAAGAATGCCGAGGCATTCATCGGCCGTTCAGATGCAGTCGGCACCGCAGTGAGGAAACAATGCAGAAGGTCTTTGCCACTGTTCCCGGTAATAAAAAAATAATATAGGCTTGAGAAAATAACTTAGATGTAGTCATAATGCATACTCGGTCTGTGTATGCATTCTTTTAGATAAAGATAAAACAGGCGAGAATATATTGAAGCCAGAACATCTGGCTCGTAGGCCTACCAAATAGCACTCCGGCTTCCATTGCAACAAATAAGAAGCTAGCTTATTTCGATGTTGAATGGGCGTGAAAAGGATTAGAGCAACAGAACTTTGAGGAGAGGCTGTGCAGAACAAAGAAAGCGGTTAAGGAAAGGGTTTTGCCTCAGCCAAGCTGCGGCCTTGGGAGATTTTCTTTGTTCTCGGGTCACTGCGTTGGCCTAGATTGTAGTCTTATCCACAACGCTGATGATATGCCACCACACCATTACCATTAGTATCAACTTTCTTTAAGGGTTCAAGCAATCATAGAAACTTCCCCAGAGTCTCCCAACAAAAGTGCAGCATTGTCCTTGCGAGAAGGAGCAGCATGATAAGGCTGATGTAGAGAAGTACTTAATCATTGTCTACAGTGTCAGAATACGCATCAAAAGAAGTCTTTGGCGTTCTCCTATGTGGAGTATCCCGTTCAAAGAGTTCTGCAATGAAGTGAACTGAAGAGCGGCCTTCTTCCCTCCACCAGCCCCAGGGCATTGCGCCGCTGTATCCAGCCCCCCTGATGAATTGAATGGAAATCAACTGCTGCTGGATGATTCTTGCCTTGCAGCATTTTGAATTATTTGCCTCACGCGACGGTTCTTGGCTTATCGTTTACGGTCTTTGTAGGGTGTAAGGCCTACACAATATACTAAGCAATAGCTGAAGGCTCAATGAGTGGAGAATTTGTGCAGAAGTGCAACTCGTAAATAAACACTAGAGAAACCGAATAACACATTCCTAACACCACCCACCAGACACTTGGTGTTTAGATGCACCTACTCTACGAGAGTCTGAACTTCCTAAGACGAAAAATATATGTTTCTGAAAAGAATTCATGTGTTTATCAGTGTTGAAAAGGGAAATTGCTCAAAGTTTCTACAGAAGCTCGGTGCATGCATGGCGACGCAGGGGGCCCCAGCTTCATCGTCCTCAGGCAGCTGGCGCCAGGCTGAGCGAAGGAGCGGAGTTGTTATTTGCATGTTTTTTCCGGGGTTTTTATTTTAAATAACTTGTTCGTAGAAGTTCTAAAGTTATTTCCTGTAGAATGTCGCGGCCTGAGCCTGACGTGACGGTGCCCGCTGGCGACCCTAAGGCTGGCGCGAAGGTGTTTAAGGCGAAGTGCGCCCAATGCCACACCGTTAATAAAGGTAATATATTTCCTTTACTTTATTTTCTTCATTTTCTTCCTTTTGCCTTCATGCTTGCCGATGTGAGCTTATGAAGATGTTCACACGCTTGATTCACAGCTTCCGCGCTCGCGGTACGCGCGCAGAAGGAAGGCGGTGGTGGTCTGCATTTATCTTTCTTCTTCGTCTTTTGTTGCATTAAGTTCTAATATTTTGTGTTTAATTGATTGCGTTTGTCTTATTTTGTTTTCCTCCCCAATTTGAATTGTCTTTAGCGCACTGTGCTGTCGGGGGGTGCGGCTGTTTGTTCAATTTTTCCTTCGTAGTGTTTTATTTTATGTGATTCTTATCGCTTTTCCATATTTCTGAGTTTGCTTTGTTTACTTACGAAGGCGTTTGTTCCATTCAGGCTGCTTTCACTGCTGACGAAGCTCATATGAGTTTGTTGCATGTGTTTAGTGCAAAATGCGGCAGCGTATGGAGGTGTATTTAGATATATAAATATGTGTGTATATATATTATATATATTCATGATATTATATATATTCATGTTAATCTTCATATTCATTCAAGGCAGATGCATGCGTCTCGACACTGTGGACAGTAGCTTCTTTTGTTTGTTGGTTTAAGGAACGTTTTATTTCTTTCTTCCTTCCTTGTATTTCTGTTGTGCCTACACGATTTTCCCTTCTGTTATTCTATTGTCCCCATTATCCCTATCTCGATTGCGTTTCAGTTGCATGCACGTATTGATGCGTTTTTGAGTGCGTGCATGCCTGCAGTAATGGCTGCTTTTTTCTGCATCTCCTATGCATTTATTGTTGCTTTTTGCGTGCACGCATGCAGAGGCTGCTGCTCTTACAAGCTTGCATGCATATGTCGCCTTTGTTTTGCATGCACGCATGTGTGTATTGCTGGTTCTTGCATAGACGCTTGCACTCAGTAATAGCCGTCTTTTTGCATGCAAACATGCATGCATGCATTTGTCGTTTTTTTTGTATGCATGCATGGATTTGCCCTTTTTTGCATGCGAATGCAGGTGGGGCTGCAAAGCAGGGCCCGAATTTGTTTGGTTTCCTCGGGCGGGCCTCGGGTTCAGCAGACTTCCCTTACAGCGAGGCGAATAAGAACAGCGGCATTGTTTGGAGCGAGAAGCACCTGTGGGAGTATCTTATAAACCCCAAGGCATACATACCGGGCACTAAGATGGTGTTTGCGGGAATAAAGAAAGAAACAGAACGTGCAAACCTCATCGCGTACCTCGCAGAAGTCACCAAACCCTAAACCCTTAACCCACGGTGGCTAACGTTAAAACCGCAACAAACCCTGAAGGATAAACAGTCAGCAGCAAGCCCCAAACCCTCAGCAGCAAAACTCTGAAACAATCACCGAACCCTAAACCCTCTTCGGCTCCATGCAAGCACAAAAAAGATGTGCTGCAAACGAAGACCATGCATGCTGTTGAAGCGGTATAGAAGACAATGGGATTAGAGGGTTTTATCGTGTGCAGCATTTGCATTTCGTTCTGTCTCATTAAAAAACAATTTGTGCTGTCTTGTCTTTTGTTGGCACTGCCCACATACAGCAGCAAACACCGCAGGGGGTATAAAATGTTGAAGTGCATGGTAGAGGGGAACATACAGACAGAAAACATGAATCGATAATATAGAATAAAACGAAATTAAATAAAATAAAACAACACGGAGTTGTTATATGGGAACAAGAGAAAACATTCTCTGCCCCGTTTGTTGCTGTTGTTTTCTGCATAAGGCCCTTCACCTCAAACCGCCTATTAATACCCATTGGCCGTCCTTCCCCTTCATCTGCATAGGCTGGTCTCAACAATATATGTAGATATGCATATATATGCATGCATGTAAATGTGTATGTGCGTGTGTGTCTGTGTTTGTGTGTGGGTACGTATATACGCATACATACAAATAGATAGGTATTATCCATGTGTATATATTTTTGTATACTGTAAATAACTATACAAATATATATATATATGTATATATATATATATATATGTATATATATTTATGCTTATATGTTCGCATGTGGGTTTGCAGCATTTGCGTGAGTGTATGTTGTGCAAGTACCGCGCCGCGTACTGCGGTATTGATGTACACCGAACGATATAAGATAGTAAATACGACGTATATAATAAACAAGTGATATATATTATACATTGTATGCATATTATATATTCAGCATTATATATTATACAATGCATAAAATAACTATTGATATGCGACACCGTACTGCATTCTATGTTTCACTGCATTTTAAAACGTTCAGTTTTTATTTTTGGAAACTCTTTGCGTGCACAGAGGCAAGCGCTTACCTGCTTTTAATGATCAATTATTATTATTCTTTCTTTGTTTTTTTTGTAACCCAAGGAGAGCCGAGCAGCAACTGCGCTGCAATCGTGCCGTAGCGAGCCCTTCCTTCTGCGTTTAGTTTGCTGGAAATTAGTAAATAATTTACATTTAAATAATAGCGGAGAAGCCCAAAAGACAGAATCGGGAGCAGCTCTCCCCTCTGCAGTTCGGTTTGCTACGAATTAATAAATGATAAAAGTTTAAGTAGAAGAGAAGTAAACGGATGACAATTTTTATTTGATTTTGAATAGCTTGGAGGGGGGGCGTCTGAGCGTTTATTTCCATTATGAATTGTTTGGTGTAATAAATATGCAAAATATGTTCGACTTGGTAAGAGTGGAACCGAAGAAAAAAGGAGATATCGAAGGCGGCACTTTTTATATGATTATTTGCAACTTCTGCGGAGAATCTCCGACAGAGGGACGACTTTGCCTGCAAAAACAGGGAAACTAAGAAAATAATCTCTAAAATATTTCTTTAGTTGATTTCGGAACTCGTTTTCGCCAAGTTTTATTTGCTCTTCTTCAGTTTTCTTGTCATTTCTCATTAACCACCTAAGTTGTTTCCTTGATTGCTTTTGTTTTGTTTTGTAAGTTCATCTTGATGAGTTTCCACTTCGTATTTCTCTTTCTTTTTCCCTCTGAAGGCTGCGACATGCTTCTGTCTTAAGCTGGTTTGTGTTGTGTGTTTGTTGTTTGCTTATTTTTCGTGTTTTTCACAATCCTCGTCGTTTCTACATGCAAATAATCGTTCTTTATTGCCGTTTGTACACATTTTGCAGATGTAGTACAACAAACGCCTCGGGCAGTTGAGAGATGCACATGGCAATTCAAAGCGCAATTAACAAACCAGATCTGCTTGCATTTTAAATAAACAACAAGTGTTACATTGAATGAGGAAATTGCTCTTACAATTCCATTTCCTGGTGCTCTAGTGCTCTACGTTTGTTCAAACGGAAATGTTGAGCGCCAGAGTTAAGGGTTTGCGGTTTAGGGTTTAGGGACTAAAGTGTTGGGTCTAGGGTTTAGAGTTCTGAATCTAGCAGTTAGAGTTGAGGGCTCAGGGTCTCGTGTCTAGGTTTAGTAGGGTTGGGGGTTGGAAAGTTTATGGCTTCGAGTAAATGGTTTAAGGTTTAGGGCTTGCCGTTCTGACCGTTTTTGTAGTAAACCGACTCCACGCCTTGTTGCGTTGTTTCCTCATCTTCATTAGCTGGGGGGTCTAGCGCTGCCAGCAGTGGGCGGTACGCGACTTCTTGCAGATTGCCTTTGTCGCACAGCCACAGACAAAGCTGAGAGAGAAGACAGCAAAACAAACACCAAGCAAAGCAAAACAAGATGAATAATCAACTGATCCAGAAGGTGAATAGACACATGACAATTCACATTTCATCGTCTTAACGAGCCGAGTGTCCGTGACGTCGAAACTCCACGCACAGCAACGGCAGAAGCAGCAGCGGGGGTAGCAGCCAGAGCAATGCAAAAGCAGCCGCAAGGACAACAACAGCGGCAGCAGTAGCCGGGGCAGCACGAAAGGCAACTGCAACACCAGCAGCAGCATCGGGGGAAGCAGCAGGGGCAGCAGCAATGGCAGCAACAACAGCAACAGCAACAGCATGGGGGAGCGGCAGCAGCGGCATCAGCAACAGCAACCGCAACAGCAGCAACGCTGACAACCGCAGTAGCAGTGGCAGCAGCAACAGCAACAGCAGCAGTAGCAGCAACATGGGAAGCAGCAGCAGCAGCAGAAACAGAAGTTGGAGCCGTAGCAACAACAACTTCATAGCGGCAGATTCAAAGCATCGAGGGCATCAAAATGTAAAAAGAAGATTTTAAGCATCAAAATGTAAAAGGAAAATATTAAGAAGAAATGTGCTTTCTTTTTATTCGCCGCTTACATGTATTTGTGTGTTTGTTATATTGATGTGCAGTTTATCTTCCTCTAATTAGCTGCTGCATATTTTTGTGTAATTGGAATATGGATAAGAGATGCGGTTTTTAATGATTTATTTTTTATCAGTTTGTGTAGGTTGATAAGAAGTATGTTTTTTTAATTGATGTTAATCTGCTGACGCACTACTGAGGTTGATGAGAAACACGTTTCTTAATTAATTACTTTTAATCCATTTCTCTACTGATTTTCTGATAGCTGCTCTTGATTTGTTTCTACATTTACGTAGAGAAGAAATCTGTTTTCTTTTACGTAATTGCCACTAATTTATTTGAATATTCATTGTACTGGTGCTAAATATGCCTTTATCAATTAATGCCCTTTAGTGTATCTGTGCATAAGTAGAAATGATAAGGAATAGGCTTTTAAATCAATTCTATTGGCAAGAAACCCATTTTTGAAATTAATTATTATTAAGCTGCTTGAGTGTCTACAAAATTGACGACGTTTGGTTTTTATTTGATTACTTTTTATCTTTCTGTGTTTTATTTAAATTTTCTCAAGTCTCACGACGTCTAGTTCTTCTTCTGTCACAGGGAGACCCAGCATCCCTAAAATCCGCCACAGCTGACGGCGTGTTACATGTTGCCTAGGAAAAGAATAATTGAAACTAACTAATAATAATAAACAATTTACTTCAAATAATTTATATTAAGTTTTCCAAATGAAAGAACCAATGTGGAATAGTTAAAATTCAAACCAATGTGGAACAATTAAAATTCACCCTTTAATTAAAAATTTGCATTACACACTTTACATCAAATAAAACCAAATAGATGAAATCATACAATTAAAATCCAAACATTAAACTACACGTTTAAAATAAAAACAGTCGAGAAGGGGCGGAAACATATCGAAAGAAGTGAAAAGAATTGAAGATGTAAACTGATCAAAGCCACACGCAAAACTGTGCATAAAGACAAGGAGGGGGAAAAGCGTTTGCAATAAGGAAAACGATGATTTAAGCAAACAGAAAAGTCACTGAAAAATATACAGAGAGCGCTTTCACGCGACTGAAGGTAAATGAGGGTTGTGGTGCCCCTGAGCCCGTGCAGTAAGACAGAAGTCCAGCAAAATCAAAAGGGAGATTCAGTCACTAGAGGTCTTTTATTTCGTAGAAGCAAATGCATTTAAATGCTAAATTGGATTTATTTTACTTCTGCTCCTCCTTCCTTATCTCTGGCACGTGAGGAGGAGTTTTTCGCTTGTGCACAAACCGCTAAAAAAACTAGTTAAAATCAAAGGTGCCGTAAAAATACAAGCAAATAAACAGACTAGGGAAATATGCACTTGTTTGTTTAGATTTCGAGCGTACAACCGAACAAAAAGAATACATAAAAAGCATCTGCCTGTTTTTTACGTTCTTTGTTTGTCGAAATCCTGAAAAGTAGGGAGAAGAATTTTTCGAGTTTGTTTGACTTGGAAGGCTAGACGGTCTTGCACCGCATTCAGCTTCCTCTGCATGCAAATAAAAGTTTATTACTTGCATAATAAGCATTGGCATGTGCACATGTATTTGCATATATAGGTTATTCATTCAAATCCGTTAAATATATGTGTGCCTAGGTTTGCATATATACATATCACATACATGAAAACTGACTACTAAAATTGTACTATGCTTGTATTTGACAATTTTTTAATACCTATATGTAAATATACAAATGAATACATACACACATATAAACGTATCTAGATCCGTATATATATGTATATGCATGTATTTATTTTTTTATTCATGCATCTGCTTTGTTCTGCACGCATTGCCTTCGAATCCTTGGTTTTTTGCATTTGTTGAGATGCGCCTGAGTTTGATGGTATTTGCTTGCTGCTAGAAACACTCGTTAAGGTTAGGTTGCGTTTAAATGCATTCAATTGCATTTTTAACGATTAGGAGGTACAACCGACGCAGATGAATATCGAAGAACTTCACAAGAAAGGGAAGAAGCTGAA